TCTGCCTAGCAGTACCCTGTCTTTCTATTGTTTAGCTGTTGGCTCTTTAGCTTTTTATTAGACCAAACAGGGTTTTTAGGCAGGCAAAGCAAAACAGATGCAACACATCTTTACATAATTACAACACATCTGTACATCATTAAAAATGCCACGAAAACAAAAGTAATACTCCTTTACTTATTTAAAATAATACTCTTCAGGATAAACAAAAGAAAATACCTTGGCCTCATTAAAATAAGATTCCATAACAATTGTTGATTTCATTTAGTTATTAAAAATAGATTTGAACTAATTTTAGATTTACAGACAAATATTTGAATTAAGGCAGAAACACTCTGCTTAGTTAATATTATGTTCTTGTAGTTTTGAAAACATAGTACAACATGAAGATTTGTATTTTAAGATGGCGCTAACTAATAAGGTTGAACATGTCAGGCTTGTAAGGAGTCAGGAGTGAATGAAAGATGAAGATCTGTATGTCTTAGTGGAAGGGTAAACATTTGATATTATTTGCTATCATTGAATTAGGGTGATGCTGCCCAATGCAAATGGAAGAAAGAAAGAAATGAGATAGCCTTTCAAGTGGAATCTTGGAACCTCTCTACCTTCATTCCATGTTTACCTACCTGTACATTGGAGGTATAAAATTTGAAAGACTTTCATCATAAAGTCTAGGTTAGGGTTTGAAAGAAAACTCTTCTTTCATTAATATTTTTTATGAGGTACTAAGGGCATATTTCAGGTTCTTTTTTAACATAATATTTTTTATTAACCTTATGAGAATGTCTTACAATGTACTTTGATGATATTCATTTGACTCCTGCCCAAACCTCTCTCATATCATAATCTATTGCTTACCTTTCTAACCTCTCCCAATTTCATGTCCTACTTTTATTTTGGTTTTAAAATATCAACCTAGTCTTACTTGTGCTGGACATACACTCATGGGTGTGAGGTCAATCACTTGAGCTTAATTGACTTAACAGGGATTATATCCCTAAAGAAAAATGACTCCCTTCCTACTATGAACTATCATGTCTCAGTAGTTCTTCCATTAGAGGTATGGGTTCATGAGCGCCTCTTACCTCCATATTTTGTATTCCTGTATCAACTAATAGTGCTATTAGGTTAAGGAGAGTCAGCTTTCTTCAGGGAAGTCTATGCTTCATAAATGTCTCTATACCCATGACGACACAAACAGTGCTGGTTTGACTCAGTGGGTTTTAAGAAGAGGGAATGGAAGCCAGGCTAAAAGAAGAGCTGGAGAATAAATGGGGGTTGATATAACCAAACACACTGAATATGTATGTGAATTCCTCAGAGATTGTGAGGGGAAACAATAAACACTAAAGAATTTTAGAAAAGCCACATGAGAACCTTCTATTGTAGAAATTTCCTAATATATATACAAATGGAGTTTAAATGGAATCACCAAAGAATGCAGAAAACAATACTTCAACTAGACATTTTATGCCACCAACTAAAAACTGCATGCTCTGGAGTGGGTTTCATTTTATTAACTTCTTGACCAATAGGGTCCTATAGACAGGCCCCATAGGCCACTGACAAAGCAATTACTGGATTTTCTCAAGAATCAGATGGTAAGTGCTTATTCTTGACACTGCTTATGTCATTGAACATGGAAACATCCAGCTGATACCTAACTAGAATCTTCTCCCCTACTGACTAGCATTCACAGTGCTAGACGTCACTTTGAATGCTAATGGAAGAAAGGAATAAGTAAAATCAAATCAAAACAAAACTGAACAACAAACATTTTTAACATTTTATAGAAAATATTTAATGAATCACAAAGTCTTGATCACTTTGGTACCCCCAAGGAATACATATCCTGCAGGGCACATTTCAAGTTTGCCCTAAGGAATTTTGGATCCCTTAGTAATTTTGGAGAGTCAGGAAAAATTGAGATTCATTTTAGCAGTTGTTGTATTTCTTTTCATCCTAAATAGAAAAACTTGTAATTGGCGGTATTCTTACTGCTCTGTTATTTATTTTATCTACAGACTTCACCAATTTTATGATTTATTAACTAGAGAAATGAGTCATGATTATTATTCTCATGTTCTGCTGTTTGTTTCTGAATTCATTTAGTCTTTTTGGTATATTCTCCTACTTCAAAATTGTACTTTCATATCCAGTTTAAGGTTAAATGTAAAAATTTAACCAAAAGCTCACTCTTTCTAATATCTGTTCATGACAACTCTATAATTTAGTTATCACTTAGGCTAATGTTTTTCAGGATTTGTTTCTATTGTTTTTCTGAATCTCTTTTTACTATAAAGCTTGTCGAATCCTCTCTTGTAATATTCCTTTTATATTTTGTTTATCAGAACTCCTCACAGAGTTACTCTTAATTTAGGGAACTTCCTTTCTCTTCCTCCTTTTCTTCCACTTTCTTCCTTCTTTTCCACCTGCTTTTGCCTCCAAAGTGCTGAGATTAAAAGCGTTCATCAACACTGCCCAGCCAGGTTTAATTTTTTTAAATGCCTTAAAAGTAACTGTGAGGAAAACAGACAAATTTCATTTGATATTATACACTTTGATTAATTAGTATGTGTAATATGTAGGAAAGAGGACATTATAAAAATATATAGGAGTTCATCTAGTGATAGACAGTATGAAGAATTAATTGTATATTAAACAAGTTTTCTTGATTTTTCTGTTTATAGGGACCCATAGTGCAAGAATAAAATGTGTGTTAATCCAGAACATAGGTGAGATGGAAGAAAACTGGAGACTAATGCAGCAGGAGAATTGATTGGGACAGGATATGGGAGGGCAGAATACAGTGGGAGTTTGAGGACAGATAACTGATATTAAGACTGTTGAGAAAGTTGTGTGTATATTTACTTCTGTATGAGCTTCCTAAGATATATTCATGTGTAAGATATGAATTAAATAGATCTACCTCTAATTGGGAGGCATTGTTCCTCCTCGACACCATAGGCTATCAAATAAAACTGAGATTCAAGAATGGGCTACTTTTTTGGAGTTGTATGCCAGTTTTGTTCCATATAAGCACCCTAAAATAAAGGCAATTACCACTGCTCTTGATTATGCCCATAACTTCATGGTGAGATTCTGTTGCTGAAGCTACCATAAAGCTTGTTTCTGCCTAAAAACTTCACCCCTGTTGTCTATATTCTGTAGTGCTAAAGCCTAGGCTTGTTATTATAGGCAAATAGTAATGATCAATTATTTAGTTATAAAACCAAGGGCTAAAATAATTGCTGACCTGACAGAATACACCTTCTGTGTTATATTGGTACACGTGTTGTAGGATTACTAATCCCTTTTTGTTTTGATTTCCAGCTTTCTCCACAGACAAATATCATTCCTAGCATAGTGCTTGGAATGACCTGAGACTAGATAGGTCATAGTCTATAGGATAGTGCCCCTGTTGAGTTTTCTGCTGTGGATATAGAATTAAATTGGCTCTTAATAAATTTCCATTATATATATATATATATATATACATAAATACATATACATATATATGCCATAGATTATGCATCTCTCAATCTTCATCAGAAATGTATCTTTTGGCAGAAGATGGTGATTGACATAGATATCCATAACTTGAGGTCGGAAGATCACCACATCATAGCTCTTCTCCCAAGTGTACAGGATTATAAGGAAAGGAGGGTTGAAAAGATTGTTAGAGTCAGAGATGACAGGTAACTATGCTGAAACAATGTTTTCAGGACTTTACAAGTTTACTGCTCAAATGACCTCACAGTTGTTGCATCAGTCTTCATAAGACCTATGTAAAATCAAGCCAAACAAATTTCAAGAAATGAGGGAGATTATGGTCATGATGATGTTCTATCTCTATCTGAAGAGCTATTGGCAGTTTGTGGTTAATGGGAGAAACAGTGAGTTTCAAGGATGTAGCACTTGAAAGGCTTCTTATCCTCATGTAGATGTCTCTACAAACATATTCATTCTGTCAGTGCTGACTGAACTCTGTGGGCTTTAAAAGTGAGAGAAAAGCAAAGATGAAGATGTGAAGTATAGTGGTAGGGTAGAAGAGGAACTGGATGGAAAGTATCAGGTATGAACTTAATCAAAACACACTGTATATATGTAGATACCTTTCAAACAATAAAAACAAAACAATACTGGATATATTCAATAAGTCAGTGTTATTACTATTAAAGTCATCTGCAAGCAGTGTACCTAGAAACCTGATCCCTTGGGAAAAATAACTGTAAAACATAAGATTTTCCAATACTAATCAGGTCCCTAAGATTGCAAACTCATAAAAAGCCTCTTGAGTCATTAACAAGTGGCTCTTGTGACATCAGTAGATGCTATTTACCAACTTCTTGTATAGAGAAGGCATTCTGGGCAAAGACGACACCAAAAATCTTGTCTCCATCCCATGGCTTTTCTTAATCTTGAGGAATGAGGGCTCTGGTTCAACTTACCTAAAATTAATTTTCTCTATCACCAGAAATCCAAGCCTAGTAATAGCAGAAAATAAGTTATTTTTCTTGTCTATATACTTTATAGTTCATCAGTGCCATTTCACTTGCCCCTTTGTGAGGGTGAAGGAGAGGAGTTTTTAAGTTCATTTATGAGTTCTCTATGGACAAAGGTAAGTGTTGAATTGGAGGCAAGCTAGATTTTCCCCTCAAAATACCCCTACGAGAGTAGTGAGTTATATGCTTAGGGACTTTTCTTTTGATTTTACCTTTGAACTTGAAATGGGAGGTAAATTTTCAAGTAGAAGCAGAACAGAGATGATGCAGAAGTAATAATGGCCATTGGTGACCTCAATATTATTCCAAAGAAGTGGACCTTTTATATATTTCTGGACATTAAGGGTCTTCAAGTGTATATAACAGAGGCACAGAGAAGAGTGAGTTTGACTTTATCCTTCCATTCTGGTTCTAAATCTCATTTTCATGGTAAAGGTTGGAGAGGACTAAGATCTCATTCTAATAATATTATTTTATACTATTCTCACAGTTATAATGCAAGGAATGGCCTCAGCAAATGACTCTTCAGTGAAGGAGTTCATCCTTCTGGGTTTGACACGGCAGTCAGAACTCCAGTTACCTCTCTTCTTCCTCTTCTTGGGAATCTATGTCGTCTCCATGGTGGGGAACCTGGGATTGATTGTTCTGATTGTTTTGAATTCTCACCGGCACACCCCCATGTACTACTTTCTCTTCAACCTTTCCTTCACAGATCTCTGCTACTCCTCTGTCATCACGCCCAAAATGCTGGTGAGTTTTGTGAAGCAGAACACCATCTCCTATGCTGAGTGTATGACTCAGCTCTTTTTCTTCTGTTTCTTTTCTATTGACGAATGCTACATTTTGACAGCAATGGCTTATGACAGATATGTTGCCATTTGTAAGCCCCTTCTTTATCATGTCAACATGTCCCATGATATTTGTCACTTGATGATGGTGGGTGCTTATGTGATGGGGATTGTGGGAGCCATAGCCAATACTAGTAGTGTACTAAGTCTGACCTTTTGTGATGGCAACATCATCAATCACTACATGTGTGACATACCTCCTCTCAGGAAGCTCTCTTGCACAAGTACCTACATCAATGAATTGGTTATTTTCATTGTTGTGGGTGTCAATGTAATCGTACCTAGCCTGACTATCTTTATTTCTTACACATTGATTCTTTCCAACATCCTTGGCTTCCATTCTGCAGAGGGTAGGTCAAAAGCCTTTAGTACCTGTGGCTCCCATGTTGTAGCTGTTTCTCTTTTCTTTGGAGCTATAGCCTTTATGTATCTTAAACCATCTAGTGTGTCTGGGGATGAAGATAAAATATCTACCATTTTTTATACCGTTGTGAGTCCAATGCTAAACCCTTTCATCTACAGTTTAAGGAATAAGGATGTCCACATTGCACTGAGAAAAACTTTGAAGAAAAGCATGTTTACCTAAGTAGAATCTGTATTTGTTATAGAAGGAAAAATCTTAGGGTATGTGTGTCTTACAACTAAGGAGAGGATTAGAGAAGTAACTTATTAGCCGAGTATTTGCTTACGTAGATTTAATTTTAATTTAAGTCCTAGATTTAATTTGCTTACATGGATTTAATCCATAACTTGAAAAAAAGCCAAAGTAAAAACAAGTAAAATAATATCAAAATTCAAATACTAGTGTGGGCTCAAAATTATTTAATACTATGCAAAATTAATTATTTATTTAGGAAAATCTAGAAGTAAAGGATGTTTAGTCATCATTCTTTTAGAGTACAGAGAACAGTATATACTGCAATTTTCCAGTATCATATATATCTTTTTTTAATATTGAAAACTAAAATAAAAACATTAGTGCAGCCATCTACTGGCATGGTACACTTTAGCCTTAGAAATCATGTCCATATAAGTACAAAACTCTGGATGATATTGCATTCTGAAATGGTAACATCCTGAAGTCTTTTCAAAAATATACATATTTATGTTTTTGTAAGTGTGTGTTTGGGGAGTTTTATTCAAGATCTCCTCATTGCTAGTCAAGTGCTCTTTCAGAAAGCTTCATCCAAAGCACAGTGTTGACATCTTATATCAAGGTACATCTAGAGGTTTTATGTTGCTATTCCACTGAGATACTGATTTCAGTATTCTTAGAGATAGTGACTCAATAATTTGGTTAATAATCCCATGGAAATATTTGGAGGGAGTTGCATTTTAAAGAATGCAGAAATGCCCCTTTTAAATATATTTTTTTCTCTATAGCCTTGACAGTTTGGTGAAAAGGAAGTGAGGAGTCCATTGTGATTCCAGTGCTTGCAGACTGAAAGTAAAACAACATTTTAGGTTTTTCAGTACAAAGGGAATCTGTGTTAAGATTTCCTCTTATGGGCTTGAGGGCAGGCATGCTATGTCTTAACTGGAAAGAATTTAACTTAAGATATTTATTACTCATCAGTATATAAGTATTGTGGTTTTTGTGCTAAATTATATGATCTTAATTTGTTATCCTATGGTTCTTTCTGTTTATAATTTTACTGCCATTCTCTCTCAGAAGTCTTCACAATGTGATGTAGTTTGTTGAAGTTCTAAATTTAAAGTACTGGTCCACTGTATTTTAGACATAGAGATATCTAGACTTTGGTAAAAAAAAAATTAATTATACAGCTTCGAAGAAGTTTGAAGATGCTTCTTATTGCAGAAAGCTAAAAACTAATAAGGAGGCAAAATGATTTTCATATTTATGAGTCTGTATGGGAAAAATAACATACAAAGCTTTGAATAAATTAATGCAAATTGTCAGTATTTGTACTGAGAAAAACTGTCTTATTATTCTTATCATATTTGGTTGTTTGGTCACAGGACCCTTTCTAAGGAGGTGACTGGTGACTTTACAGATGCAAGGTTGCCCTCAGAACATCTAAACAGAGAAACGAGTTGAGCTGAGCTTCAAAGGCAGGAACAATCTTGACCATCATGAGTCATAGTTATGAGACACAGATACATACATAGAAGAAATCTAAGCAGAATGATGTGTATACAAGTGTGAAGAATCATTACAACACGAGGTTGAATTGGGGCTTTGCAGGCTAAAAGAATGGATCTCAGTAAGCACAATAAAAATCCAGCTGATATCAATCATATAATGAACTTTGTTTTCTTCCTTCCCCATATTTGGAATCCTAATAGATGTTCATTTATAAGCAGTCCGGGTTCCATGAACAAGTTTTAGTGAAATTCATGAAACAACAAATCTTAAATAACAAAAACTTTCATGTTCTGTGGAATGGATGATGTTTCCTAGTTATTGATAAACACATACAAATGTGGTTCAATGTTTGTGAGATTCCAGCTGAACCTGCACCAGGAGTTATGTGGGAGCCCTGTGGCCCTGTCTCTTCATTCCTTCAGTAGGCTGTGTGAAATGGAACTGGTTTGGTCTGAATTTGGATTGCGCAAGATTCAACTCTTTGTCCTCTCAGTCAAAGAAATTGGACAGATAGTAATAGAACTGTTGTGGTACCCATTTAATAAATCATACAAAGTTAAAAGGTACTACCTATTGTGTTTTAAGTATCATAATCCTGAAATATAAACAATGCTTATTTCATACAACTTTCCTTGCTAAATGTACCCTTGATTCTTCATAGCCTTTCAATTCTTATTTTATACTTTTGCCTTGAGGCAGGATTGTGTTGTGTATCTCAGAGAGGCCATGAAATGATCATCTTCCTGACTTTGTCTTATGAGGACAGAGATAATAGACATGTGCCACTACTCTTGGCTAACAGCATCTCAGTACCGATTAGAGCCAGCCGACAGTTCTGACATAGCGGCCATTGCTAGTATCAGTGGAAGCAACTGATCATAGATATTGGTATCACTGTCGCTGCAATAGAATAGGGGAAGAATTTTTGTGTATACACACTTGGAATTCACATGGGGTCATTTAAGGTTCATATATATTCATGAAAAATATATTTGTTGTTATAGTTATCAGATCAATTCAAACCATAAGATAGAAAGCAAATGTAATTTTCACATATAACACACATGAATCAGCAAATAAAGAAAAAAACAAAGGGCATATTTTAAAATATTAAGGAAAACATTCAGCCTATTGATCAAATCTGAGTTCATCTACAATTTTGGGGACCGGTAAAGAATAGGTGAACACATGCTTTTTTTTTTTACTAAGAGTTTGTTAAGAAAAGCTGTCCCATATTGGAAGGATAGGCTTATTAGAAGTCTTTCAAACTTTTTAAAATAAAAAATAAGTCTAAGGTGTTTACTCAGTTTTTAAATTTCAAAATTTGTCTTCAAATGTGAGATATTAATGATTTTTAAAATTTATGCAAAGGGAATGATCAAAATATTAATGAAATAAATGAATTTTTCTTGTTAATTCTGGAAAATACTTATTTTATTAAATAGACATATAATAATCAGATTTAGCTTTGTAACTAAAAACAAAGCTAGATACATGATGGAAATATCTTATTTAATTACTAAATATGATATTTCTCACTCTAATGATCAAAAGACAGACATCATATTTACTTCCTGATGACTAATCTTTTTTTCTGATAATTTATATATAAATTATATAATTTAAATTTAATTGTGTAATTTATTTGTAATTATGTAATTTATATGATTCTGATTATATAATTTAATCTTTTTTCTGATAATTCTGATAATTTCAGTTCACTGGCTCAAAGTCCATCTTAAGAGGCTATTGTAAAATGGTTCCAGTGAGTTAAATGAGAGATATTGAAATGTAAAAATACTTATTGATAGAGTCAGCAAGTCAAGGTAGTGGCTAAAAGCCAGAAATGACCATCTTAATGTAGCATTAATTTAATTCTTTTTGAATTTGGCAAGGGTTATTGTGGAGGGCCGGACCACATTCTCCATTGCTTCTAGGAACAAAGGTAGAGATTGACCTCTGTGACCTCAAGGTGTGGCGGTACACGCCTTTAGTCCTGATGCCTGGGAGGCAGAGACAGGCAGACCTCTGTGAGTTCAAGGTGATGTAGCACACGCCTTTAATCCCAGCGCACATGCTTGGTAACTCTCTACCGCTGC